AAAAAAAGTCTGGTGCACTGAGCTCCCGCTGTGTGCGGGGTCAGGTAAACGACTGGACCGCCGTAGGTCTTATGTACCCAACTTACCTTGCATTTCTGCAAGAGGTTGTATCCGGCTTGAACCTGTGGCCTTTTGGTCACATGACATCAACTTTAATTGTTGGGCCAAGCTCCCCTTCACACCTTTCTATATTTACAATTAATTTAACTTTAAACTTCCAATTTTACTTCTAATGAGATGATTTATGGTCACAGAATTGATTATGACTTGTTTTAGACCATAAGTTTCAAATGTATTTCTTTTATTATTAAACTTTGTGGCCAGGCAAACACCTCTCACAGAAATTGGGATGGATGGAGTAGTTTTGTTTTCTTGGTGTATTGGTGTTTATTTGTGTCTTTTTTGGTATGCATAGGTAAAGCATTTTGATAGGCAATACTGTGCTAAGAAGAGAGTTCAGAGACTTTTGGATGATAATGATTCAAGAAGAGGTCTGTTATTACTTCCTAAATTTTATACTCATGTCATACCGACTTGTTCCTGTTTTGGTGGCTGCATTTGCAATCTTGCGAGGTTTGATATTGGCTGTTCAATTGTTACATATTTGGATCAAATCAGAAATAGTCTCTCTACCTTCACAAGGTAGGGTTAAGGTCTGTATACACTACCCTCCCCAGACCGCACTTTGTAGGGTTACACTGGGGTCGTTGTTGTGTTGTTGTTAGGTTCAAATTGGTAAAGTTTGCGTTTTTACTGCGAATGAGCAACTCCCACTCACTTTTAACATGTACAGAAGTTAGTATAAATGAGCTCAAGGGTTTGCGGTTATGGGGTTGATCATACCAAAACAAGAAAAATAATAAAGAAAATAAATTATGTTTTTGCAGTTATGCAGTGTAGCTACTTTTGCATGGCTGCTATTCTCACAGTTGTTTCTAGCTTGCTCGTTAATTTTTTTTGTGAATGATTGATAGCAAGTCTTGATTAGTGAGAGTTAGTTGCTTACTAGTTTCTATGTCTCTCAATTCTTTTGAGGAGGGTGTAAAGAATTTTTTTAAGTTGTTTGAGCAATTTGGCCTCATTGGCATGGGTTGAACTATTCTTTGCAGGGGTTTAAAGCTTTTGGCTACTAAGGAAGAGGCTAGTACATAACTTAGGATCGCGGTAAACTTGGTTGATTCTTGCTTTGAATGTTGAGAACTTCTATATAAGAACAGAAGTATAAACATTCTCAATTTCTAGGGATCAACGATTCGAGTGGCCTGCTTCTTTTGGTATTGGTTGCTAGCTCAACTCGATTGTAGAAGATCCTGGGACTGTATTTTACCTGCAGAGTGAAATAAATGTAACTTGGAGTCTTTGTTTGTATCTTCGGAACATGAGTTTCACTTTGATAGTTATACAGTTTCTTGAAATGAATAATATAATGATTTCTTTTCGATTTAGCAGACAGAAAGGTATTTATTTGGGTTAGTATCTGTATTCTTTTGCTTCTGTATGCACGCATTTTATATCGTCAAATCTGCGGGGCCTTTAATACAACTAGTATCACAGCTCAGACTACCTGTCGTTTCTCTCATTTCAGTCATCTTACTATCTGGTTGTTGTTTATGCTGCTTTTACATGGCTTCTCGTTGTTGTGTTTCTTGTTTCTCTTCATTAATGTGGTGCTTATACTTTCCTGAGCCGATGGTCTATTGGAAACAACCTCTCTATCTCAACAAGGTAGGGGTAAGGCTGCGTACACATTACACAAATTTTCTAAGGGTCGTTTGAGGGTCATTTAGCTACAAAAGAAACACAAATTATCGTATCTCAAACAAGTTTTTTGACATAGATGGAAACCACATGTAGTAGTGGACAAAGTCTAAAAGACAAAATATATGATGTTGAAGTAACTATCTGCAAGAAATATAAGAGAATTTCTGGATGTCTACCGAGTGCTTTAATTTTACGCGATGAAATGTTATTTCTTTCACCTCTATGATTCCTTCTCCTGGTCCTTGTACTTCTGTTCTTCTCTATAGTTCTTGTTTGGTTTTTCTTGCTTCGTTACATTAGCCATTGTTTTAAGACTTAAAAAGTTAACTATTGTTTAGTAGAAATTTAAGAAATTAATACTTCTATGTTCCAGAAGGGGAGCCCTGGTGTAACAGGTAAAGTTGTTGCCATATAACCAGGATGCCACGAGTTTGAGCCGTGGAAACAGCCTCTTGCAGAAATGCAGGGTAAGGCTGCGTACAATATACCCTCGTGGTCCGGTCCTTCCACAGACCCCGCGCATCCTATGTTCCATCTCCAACACAGAGACTTAGAAGTTAAATCACAGAATTCTGACTTGTGCAGTTTTTGTTTTCCTCTATTCTTACCGCAAAAGGCAAGTGAAACAACTTTTATAATGTAACTTTTCCCTCCATGAAATGTTAGCAGAAGTGGATGAATACCTTTTCTTTTCTGCTAAACCGTCTTTAAGTTGCCTGCTAATTGCTGCTGGGAACAAATGCTAGCATTTGATTAACTTAGAATAGTAACAGCATTTTGCAGAAATATAAGGTAAGACTGCCCTACAATAGACCCTTCTCCGAACCCCATGTATAGCGGGCTTTAGTGCACCAACCTGCCCTTCCCTCTGTTCCCCATGTTGCAAAGCCAAGGTGATCTGTCTTTTCTAGTGTTAAGGAATTCGCGATTCTAATGTGCTGAAGTTTTCTATGTTATGTCATTTCATTATATAATATAACAATAACAATAACAATCCAGTATAATCCTACTAGTGGGGTCTGGGAGGATAGTGTGTACGCAGATCTTACCCCTACCCTGGGGTAGAGAGATTGTTTTTGATAGACCCTCGGCTCCCTCCCTCCAAGAACTCCCCACCTTGCTCTTGGGGTGACTCGAACTCATAACATCTTGGTTGGAAGTGGAGGGTGCTTACCACTGGAGCAACCCACTCTTGTCATTTCATTATACTTGGAGGCATTTTTTCAAAAGGTATCTGAAATGGTTATTCACACTACTCATTTCAGACCACACCAAGCTTTAAAATTTTAAACAGTTTGTGTTTGACTTTTTAATTTGAAAGCACTTTTGAGCAGTAATTAATATTTGGTTAAGCTTTTAAAAAGTAATTTTAAGTGTATTTTTCTCAAGATGCTTTTGGAAAAAATATTTTTTGGGGAGAAGCTAATTTTTTCAGCTTATCAAAAATTGAAAATATTCCTTGGTCAAGATTTTAAAAGGGAAAAAATACTTTCGGTAAAAAAAAAATCGCTTTTAGCCTAAAAGGTTGGCCAACAGGCTATTATACAAATACTTGATGATGCTATCGTCAAGAGTGGGTTGCTCTAGTGGTGAGCATCATCCATTTCTAACTAAGAGGTTGTGAGTTCGAGTCACCCCAAGAGTAAGGTGGGGAGTTCTCGGAGGGAGGGAGCCGAGAGTCTATCGGAAACAACCTCTCTACCCAGGGTAGGGGTAAGGTCTGCGTACAAACTATCCTCCCCATACTCCACTAGTGAGATTATTGTTGTTGTACTTGATAATGCTATCATGCAAAAATTACACCTTTGAAAGAAACATCATATAAAGAACCTTGCTGTTTGGTAGCTTCTAGAAAACAATTTCTTTTAATATATAATTGTCTTTGCTATATTATACTATCATCTATGCCAAAATGACGTGCCATCCTTACCTATTTGACCTAAAGAAACACTAGACAAAAAATACATTAAAGTATTGAGGTGTTGACAAAGTTCAATAATTTTCACTCTTTCAATTCATCAAAGATTTAAATTTGAGAAAAGTATAATAATACTCTTTAATCCTTTTTTTAAAAATTCTATTTAAGTTCCTTGGTTTCTTTTTCTTCCAAAAAGAAAAATGTCAACAAGCTAAAATATAGTACCACATTGTTTTATTGACAATGATACAAGCTAAAATGAACGATAAAGCAAGACCCTATGCTGTCAACCCTTTTCCATGGGATGACAAATTTAATTTCGACCGAACTCAAAAGTTTTTATTCAAATTTTGTGTTTATCATAAGATATAAATTAAATTTATTTAAATTAGTAATTTAGAATTCAATAATTTAAAAGAATAATAATCCTATGCTCCGCCACTGTCCCAAACATACCAGCCGCTCCCTTTCCAGATCCTGGATTTCTGTAAATTTATTACTACTAATATTCTTCTAATGATTCTCACTTAATCATTCATAATTACATTCTCTCATAATAACATCATTACAACCTATGATTAGATATTAATAATTCCTCATTATCACCAAGTAGGCTTCCCAAAAAAAGAAAAAGTAGGCTTCATAAATAATTTATCAGACAAAAAAGTTCATAATTAAGAAGGAATATCAAAGGAGACTGAGAGTCATTAGTTCCTATTGCAACTTTTGTTGTTAGCTTGAGCTTACTTAAGCCAAGTCTACTTAAATACGGCGTAGTTCTTCTTTCTTTTTGAGAAATTTGTTTCTTATTTTTAGTCTCTGTGATCTCGCTTTCTGTTGGTAGTAAATTTTTATGACTAACTGTTGTTTTCTTTCATTGTTGATCATCTTACTGTCTTGTTGTTTTTATTCTGCTTTTATATAGTTTTTTGGTACTGTCCTTTCTTATCTATATTTTCATTAATGTGGTGCTTATACTTTCCTGAGCCGAGAATCTATCGAAAACAATCTCTCCTCCCCAGAGGTAGGGGTAAGGTTTGCGTAAACACTACCCTCCCCAGACCCCACAGTATGGGATATTACTGGGTATATTATTGTTGTTGATTTTTAGTCTTTGTGATATCTATTAACCACTTTAACTTTCAATTAATTGAATGTGCAATGTCAATCTATTTGTGAAAATTCACAAAATAAATCAATTATTAAATAATTTAATTGCTTTAACGGCATGTTAAAATTTGCATTATTATTCCATATTTGAGTACTGCATCTAAATATAACATATTTTATATATACAAGATGCCAAAAACGCACATTGTAATAAATTCAAGATCAAATGCTATCAATAAATTATCACAAGAACTAAAATCAGAAGTCCAATAATATTTAGAGCAAAACATTTCAATTACCCCCCCTTTTTTTTGTCCCATGTGAAAAAGGCCCTTATTTTGGCGGCCGTTGAAATTTCAGCTCTAAAATAGCAAAATTATCGCCACTCTTTACCCCCCACATTTTCCGGTATTTTTCCATGAAAATTGGATAATTGAAACAGTCAACGTCTTAAAATTACGAAGTATATTTCAACAAACTCAAGCCCCGCCATTACCCATTGTGGCTGACTGGACAGTGGAAGCCGACAAGCTAGGAGAGGATGGCCCCCCACCACCGCCGTTGATGGCGGTCGATCCTCCGCTTCCGCCTCCGCCGCCGTGTAGTAGTGGGTTGTTGGGTTTCATAGAGTGACACGTGGCGGTGGAAATAGCTGTGGCTAAAGAAATTGGCATAAGACATAAGCCTTTTCCTTGTAAGTATTGCATGGCTGATCCCATATCCTCCTCCATTAGCTTTGCCACCTGGTGTTCCGTCATTGTCATGCTGTCATTGTTAGCTAACGACGTCGTTCCGTTACTGCCCCTCCCTCTATTTGCTTGTGCACAATCACCTCCTCCTCCCTACAAAACCCAATTATTACTTATTAAATTAAACAAAACTGGACTATTATAGAGCGATGTTATTAATGTTATGCTCAACCAATGGCGGAAAGTGAGAGTAACATATAAAGGAGTAAACACACAAAAAAAATCAAAGAAAATTCACCATATATATAATATATAAAAGAAAAAATTAACATATTTATACAGTATAATTTTTCAGTAAAAAATTATAAATTGACTTTCCTTTTTTATAAGACTGTCTAAATTTCGAGTTCGAACTCTGAAAATAGAGAAATTTCTAGTAGGAATTCCCTATTTAATGGAACTCACGTTATATAAATCTGAACTAATCGGACTAGTAGAAACGTCGTCAATGAATAGGAGAACCGAATGATTATATAAAAATATATCATTACGCCTAAATGAAAATTTTAAATTTAAATATAAAATATTATTCTGTTTTAAATAGATTAAAAAGAACTGCAGGTAAAAATGGGTACTGTGAGGAAAAAAGAGAGCACGCGTGATGCTTTTTGAGATTGTCACATTCTGCTGACAGAGAATTTGAGAGGGACAGATTAGAGGTATTTTGTCTGCTCAAGAATTGTTCCCATACTTTCCTACTGATCACAGTACTATGCTATTTTCATTTCTTGTTGATTTTTCTATAAATGGAAAGCCTAATAGGTACTATATTCTCTAGCATAGGTTTACTTTTTTTTTATTATATTATATTGTACAGTAAAAGAATAACCATTCAAAAGTAGAGCATGTAACTATTTAATACTCTCTCTTGATCAATTCAAGTGAACCCGTTTAACTGGAAAAGAAGTTTAAGAAAGAAAGAAGACTTTTGAACTTGTGGTGTAAAATGATGCATATATATTTTGTGTGACTATAAATCATTGCATAAATATAAATTATTTTTAAATAAAAAAAAAGATTATTGTTTTTGATACGGATTAAAAAGAAAATAGGAGGGAGTGTATACGAGAAAGTTATCCGCACAATTTAACCATAATCTTATATGTGATGATGCTATAATGTGTTACGAATTTATGAATATTAATTTTTTGCAGCGAAAAATATGTGCATTAAGATTAGTTCAAAAAAGCTCAAAAGTAACATGCAAAATGACTGAAATTTCAACTAAGGTATGATGTAGTACGTACCTCAGAGGACCTATCAGCAACTAGGGGAGCAACAGCTGCAGCACCGCCCAATCTACTCATACTCAGAACCTAAATTCACAGAAAAATAAAATGGAAAAAGCACAAATAACATAAAAGTTATATAGTCTTATAGATGGCCAAAAGGAATTCTATTAGTAGAAACTCTTATTTGTGCTTAAGTGTGTGGTACAGTGATCAATAAAGAAAAATTACGAGATTTTATATTTAAATTTCAGAAAAGATAAAAAATATTAGGTGATTCATTCAATCTGGTATTTGACCTTTCTTTCATTTAGTTTGAACCACTAGAAATTTAAAAAAGAATTAGGCTATGATATGACTCTGTAATTGATTCAGTTGTTGGACCCTGGACCCATGTGGCCTTGCCCAAGTTTTGGTGACAGAATTATCCGAAAATACTTATGCTGATAGAGGTAGTAAATGCTCAATGAACAATCAAGGTACGTGTAAACTAGTCCGAACATCACAGTATATAAGACTATATTCACATGTACAAACCAAGTTGAAAACAATCACTGGAACATTTTCCATCCCAATTTGTCAACTATTTTTAAGTCCAAGAGCAATAAATGTGAAAGTAGAAGAAAGGGAGAGAGTACTTTGACTTGAAGCTGGAGGAATCTGACATAGTCGATGATCTCATCTAACATTGAAGCCTTGTCTGTCTGTCATTCCATAAACACCATCACGTTAGTTCTCCATTTATCTCGTTCATTAGCAATAATTAAAATAATTTAGATATTAGAGCAATAATTAAAATAATTTAGATATTAGAGCAATTATGATATTAATTGTCATAAACCACAATTATTAGTGTGTAATATATATATATATAAGACTCATAATCTAAAAATTAATCTGGTAGATCAATAATATTTGCATGCTGACGCAGGAGAACATCACACACTTGAGTTTCAATAATATATACTTACATTTATATAGTTTGATTAATTACTAAATATGTCTCATCTCCAGCTTGATTATAAACTTAAAGTAGGCACGGAAAGTCACTCACAGTTACCATATCTTCATACTCTCAAGTACCCTTATTATGTTTTTGAAACATATGCAGTAGCGAAGCCAGAAAATTCAAAGGTGTTCAAAGTTTATTTTTTAATCAATAATAAATACTAATAATTTACTTTATACATAATATAATTTTTCGACGAATGATGTTCAGTTAACATAGCTTCGCCCCTTGCACGTGGGAAGACAAATTTGGAATGACACACATGACCACTAAGGCAAACACTAGTGACTAGACTTGGCAATTGGAGCAGCTAAACAACGATAACATATCCATATCATATTCACCGACCAGTGTGATTCTACAAGTATAATCTAAATGTACTCCTACGATCTTCTGTGAGGCAGAGAAACTGTTTCTGATAGATAATCGGTTAAAAAAAAAGCAACAAATATGAGTAAAGATAGTATGATGAATAAGTAAAATTAAATTTAATGAATAACTTGTATACATAATCATTGTATGATATCATATTTTTCTTAATTAAAAAGATGAATTTTTTATTTGAAACATTTTTCCGTTAAACTTTTTATTTTATTTTTATTGACATATTTTTATAATTATATAAACATCATAGCATGTTTAATAGCATAAATTCTAAAGATGCTAGCTATATTTGAATTAAGTAGGCCTCTATTAACAAAAAATTGACTTATTAGCAAGTTTTTACAGTGAGAAAATACCTTATTGGCATTGGGTACCAGCTCCTGTAACGACTTCATTCTCTCAGCAATTCTCTCTCTCCGTAACTGCTCACCACAAAACAAAACAAAACAAAACAAATCAGAAACCACGAAATTAGGCATCAGAAGCTAACTAACTGATCACAACACAACAAAATTCAAAAAACCACAACAAATAAAATCACTTTTTTTTAATTTCCCACTAAGGGTTCGGTATCCGTATTGGAGCCCGACTATATTCGGGTTGCCCCATTCGGGAAAAGCGCTCCCTACCAAGAATTTTTCATATTCAGAGCTCGAACTCGAGTTAAGGGAAGAGCAAATCCTTTGGTGGTAACAAATAAAATCACTAAAACAATGAAAAAAGAAAAAAAACACCCCGCAACTGATTGATAAATATTAGTAAGTGAAAAGACGAGTATTAAACGAACTCTTTCAGCAATACTGTGAGGGTCAGTTGCTTGTCCTCTCCGAGCCCTAACTTTCTGTTGCTTTGGCTGCCCTCCACCACCTGAACCACCACTCGCCGCCGGCGTTTGATTCATTGTCGACGACGCCGGTGCTCCGAAACTCTGTGCTTGCATGGATCCTCCCTATATTTTCACATTAGAGTTTAAGTTTCGTGCATTGACTGATAATTACGTTCAAATCTTTTCATAAACATTAAATGATAATCTAGTAAAATGATAACTAACTTACTATTACAATTCAAAATTTATTGACCGTATAAAAAATAATTTATACTGTATATATAACTTAAATCATTTTAATCGGCAATAACTTTTTGCTATTAATAAGAATGTTCTCTATAAATTAGCGTAAACATAATGAATTCTTATGTTTTGAATATGTTTTGAAGACGTAGAGAAAAATCATATAATCAAAGGACTCAAGTTATAAATTAATATATAAATATCTAAATAGGACTCAAGTTATATGATTTTCTACGTTATCGATGTAACTTAACATATTATAACATGTTATTTAACAATTTATTTTAAATTATCAATCAGCAATATTAACTAATTTTATTTATAATTACATTTTAAATATATTTTTACACCGGCGGTATGTAAAATTCAAACTCATCTAATTATGCATACCTGAGCATGGTGAAAATGCTGAGGTTGATTAGAGGTTTGACCAAGAGATCCAGCGAATCCATTGTAAAGAGCTTGAACTGAAATCTCATTTCCCTACAATTAATTCACCATAATTCAGATAATTAGAATCCTAAACATGATTAAACAAAATTAATCTACTAAATTTTTAGTAAATGAAATTAGACTAACCGGATTTCCAACGTCATCGTTTTGGTCACCATTACCGGCGAGTAATCCTCTAGAAAGCAAAAGCTGCTGTTGAAGCATCAACGCTTTAGCAGCTGCACCGCCGCCGCCGCCGGTGATCTGGTTCTGCCGGAGCTTGGAAGCTAAGAAAATTGACTGGTCGTCAAAATGACCGTCACCGCCGCCGGAGAGGTCCGGCCAGGGAGAGGAAGAAGGAACGGAAGAGAGAATCTGTTGGAGAAAGTCATCGTGAGATGACGTCGGGTCAAAATGAGAGTGACTCATATTTTGACCCGACGAAGCTCCATTTTCTTCTTGTAGTGACATTTGTGAGTTCATAGCTTGCATTTGTTTTTTCTGTTAATGAATGAGAGAAGACGTGAATGAATTAATCATAAGTTTGGTGTTGGAATGTTGTTTATATAGTTTTTTTATTTTTATATGTAGAAAACTCCTAGCCTAACCACCCACCCACCCCTCTCCCTGCACCCCTCAAAATCCCAAATCCCTGCCGTTAAAAAAACAGATTGTCATATTTTTAGGAAGAATAAAGTAAGTTTACAGCAAGGACTCGTTTGGTATAAAGGATAAGAGATAATTAATCCTAAGATTAAATTTGAGATGAGTTTATCTCATGTTTGGTTGGGATAAAATTGTGGTATAATTAATCCCGAAACTAGTTATTCCGGGATTGTAATATTTTTTTTATTTCTATGGGAGAGTGAAATAACTAATCCCGGAATAATTAATCATGTGATAACTTATTTTTCAACCAAACGCCAAATCAATCTTTGTAGGAATGCGGCCCTTCTCCGAACATGTAAACCTAATATGCTTTGCGCACTAAAGTGTTCTTCTAACTTGCAGATTTATCAATTTTCAGCATGACGTTTAAACTATTTTGGGTGCTGCTTTATGTTGATACAGGTTTGGCTTAAAAGACTGGGAAAGCCAATATTATGATTGTAGCCTCGAGGAGAGGAGAGCTAATATTTAAAATATATGGTTGGAAATTTTAATTTTTTTATATTATTAAGTTCTAAATTAATAATTATGTATATTCAACAAAAATATTTAAGTCAAATTTAAATTTTGAACCAAAATTAATGAATTCGATCGAATTCGTAAAAGAAGAGCTAGCCTCGCCCTGGCCTTGAGGGTTAATGGGGATGTGCTTCATATCTATGGTGATCCAATTTATGTTGTTGGGAAAGTCGTGATAGTTGAAGCATTGGCGATTCAGCATTTTATTAACTAATTAAAACAATAAAAAGATTATGTTATCTCCCCAATTAATTAATAAAAAGATTATGTTATCTCTCTCCCCCCCACCCCGCAAAATAAAAACAACCTATTGTGCATTCAATACCTTGGGATCACCCAAATATATTTTCCTTCTTTGTTTAGTTCCTATTTCCTATATTTATTTAATCAAAAGTTTGCCTTCCCAATGACTTCTTCATTTTTGGAAAAATAATTTGCTCCCATATTTTTCAATGGAGCTGTGAATGAGTGCATTTGTTTTTAAAAAAGATTGACGGGTAAGATCTTGCTTTAATTTTTTTTTTTTTTGAGTTAAAGGTAGTAGGTATGAAAAAAATACGACAATAAAAAGCCATGAAAAAAGAGAATAATAACAACAACAAGTTGCTCGATTTGAAATTATCATAATGGAATTTGGAATATCAACTTAATTGGGATAAAAAATCTGTTTGTGTATATGAAGGCCGACAAAAGAACAACAAGCTTGATATAATATTTGGGAAGTTTTTCAATGTCTTCAATTCAAACAAGTAATCAAGAGTTAACACAATATAAATTAAAGACCATATATTGTTCTTAATTAGTTCATAAGGTTATGTTCATTGTATCAACAATGAGATCTTAAACAAGAAGAATAATATCAAAAGGCTAACGTAGCAAGATCTAGTTCACTTGGTTTCATGAGATTAGAGAAATCCTATCTCTATACTATACAACAACAATAATTATATGTATGAAATAATTAATCCTAATAATTTGAAGTCGTTTATATGAATTCTCACGGATTATACCGCTCCTTTTAAACTCGTTTTGATGGGATGGAACCCTTATCCTAGCTATTTTTCATCATCCCCATGTGCCAATGTGATCAGGAGCGGAGTCAGTCCTTCGGCTACGGGTTCGGCCGAACCCAGTACCTTTGATCCAAATTTTATAGTTGTCTTAATAAATTCATTAAATATGCACAAATTAGTAAGTTAGAACAGAGTAACTTAAAAGAACTAGTATCCTGAATTTATAAGCTCCAAATTCTAGCTCCGTGTCTGAATGTGACATCATGTGCTTAGTTGAGCACGTTCTGACGATATATGTATCGTGAGAATTCATCATAAAATGATTAGTTTTACGATGACTATCAACCTATTGCAATTCTCCTTCTTTACTTGGGCCTCATAGGGACAAACAAGGGTTAATTCTCAATCTCTTTGAAGTTTTGTGATAGTGAAAACTCTTTGTAGTATCAATACATCAAGAAAACATTAAAACAACGTCTTAATAGACTTTACAAATATAGCAATATATATTGTTAGCAATTGGATATATTGGTATAAGAGTTTCCATCTATACTCGATTGTGAAAGTGCTTATCTTAAATTAAAAGTGCTTATCTTAAATTTTAAAGAAAAAACAAGCTCATTTTGGGAGTTAATGTGATTGGTTTAGCTTCTTTGATTTTCTTTTGCAGATAAGAAACCGTAAAAAATAGCTTCTCCTAATTAGAAACACAAACACAAGTCGTTTTATTTTTTTTTAAGAATAAAATCATCCTTATGAAAAGCTTATATTTACCAAACTATCTTAACTGTACGGAGAAAATCTAGCCTAGTTTCAAAGTTTAAAACTTAAGTTAAAAGGGTAGGATGGATAGCGACCTATGTGTAAACGACCCCGGAATAAAATTTTGATAACACCAATAGCTCCGCATGGTGATTTTGGACTTAGGAGCATATCCGAAAAATTATTTGGCGGCCCGTAGTTAAATTAGACTTGAAATGACTAAAATAGGAATTTAAGTTTGGAAGTTTGACCGGGGAGTTGATTTTTTGATATCGGGTTCGGAATCCAGTTTCAAAAATTTTTACAGTTCCGTTAGGTCATTTATGACTTGCGTGCAAAATTTGAGGTCAATCGGACTTGATTTGATAGGTTCCGGTGTCGTTTGTAGAAATTAAAAGTTTCAAAGTTCATTAAGATTGAATCTATGTGTGATTCGTGTTTTAGTGTTGTTGGATGTGATTTGAACACTTGACTAAGTTCGTATGATGTATTAGGACTTGTTGGTATATTTGGTTGAGGTCCCGAGGGGCTCGGGTGTGTTCCGGATGGTTAACGGATCAAATTTAGACTTAGAACAATTTAACTTGTTGCTGCCTACTGATACAATCGCACCTACGGAATTTGGCTCGCAGGTGCGAGCTCGCAGAAGCGAGCGTGGGAGTGCAGAAGCAAAAAAGGGAGAGTGGGCAGTGGCCGCAGATGCGAAGGAAATTACCGCATTTGCGAACTCGCAGATGCGGACGAGGGATCACAGAAGCGAAGCTAGCCGTAGAAGCGAGGGAGGCCTTCGCATCTGCGAAAGCGCAGATGCGGTCACGTGCATCGCAGGTGCGAAAGCCCTGACAGATTATAAAACAGAGGGGTTTCAACATTTTTGTCATTTTGGACATTTTCAACACAGTTTTGGGCAATTTTTCAGAGAGAATTCACGGAGGAACTTGAGATAAGTCACATGTGATTATTGTTAGTCAATTATATTGGATTATCATTGAATATTTCGAATAGATTACATGATTTTAAGGTGAAATTAGAAGATTTCGGCCTAGGGATTTCAAAATGAGAATTTGAGATTTGGAGGTCAAGTTGATGTCGGATTTTAGTAAAAATAGTATGGATGGACTCGTGGTTGAATGGGCGTTCATATTTCGTAACTTTCACCGGATTCCGAGACGTGAGCCCCACAGGTGATTTTTGAGTTAATTTCGGATTTTTATTGAAAAATATAGTATTTTCTTATGGAATTGATTCTATAATTTTTGTTGACTGTATAGAATTAATTATGACTAGATTTGAGTCGATCGGAGTCGGAAAGTCGAGGAAAAGGCATACTACTTAGTTAAATTGGAGCAAGTCGAGGTAAGTGACTTGTCTAACCTTGTGTGGGGAAAATTCTCCTAGGATTGATATTGATGTGATAATTGCAATATATCGAAAGTCGTGTACACGAGGTGACGAGTGTGTACACGAGCTAAATGTGGAAGATTATGTCTTTAAATTGTGTAGAGCACAGTTGCATATAAATTAAATTGTTTTATTCTGTTATATTCATCATCATTAATATATTTTCGTATTTTAAATTTGCCTGACTTGTTCCTGCTAAGTGTTTTACCTGTTTAGTTGAAACTCTATTTTCTTTTGTTCTGTGCATTACTTGAAGGATGAATTTCTTAATTTAAATATTATTAAAAATGAAGTATTTTACATTTTAAAATTTTGATATTTAAAACAAGGTAGTAAATTTGTGAATTATTATATTTGCTGAATATTGTGTGAGATTTTCGTACTAATTGTGATGGAGCCGTGAACTCTTTATTGTGGAAAAATATTATCATGAATTATTTTGGCATGAGTCGTGAGCTCTTTATTATGGAAAAATATTGTTGTTAATTTATTTTGGCAAATTGATATATTTGGGCACTTGAGGTACAAATTGTGATATATTATGATATTGATACGCATGCTGTGGTATAAGGTTTGGGTGTTGAAACGCATGCGGTGAGATAAGGGTGGCTTGATACGCGTGGCTAGTAGGGGAAACTACTAGAAGTCATGCGGTGTGATAAGGATGGCTAAATTACGGGATGCTATTTCGGGAAAAATATTTTCTTTAAAATAAATTGTGAAGGCTCCTGCGGTGATATAAGAAAATGAGATATTGTGAATTTATTTATGATTTGGGACTATGAGGCGGTACCTCGGGAGTGCCCTTGTTGATATTGATTTATGGCCGCAGTTGCCTTTGATTATTGTGGTGATTTTCTTAAAGCTGAAAAGAATTACATTTTATTTTCACGAGGTATTAATTGCCATTATTTGGTGTAATTAAATGGTGACATACTACTTGATTCATTTTTATTGTCATTTTATCTTATTATATTGTTAAACATTTTATCATGCCATTATTTATTTTTCAATAGAGCCTGACCTGACCTCGCCACTACTCTACCGAGGTTAGGCTTGGCACTTACTGGGTACCGTTGTGGTGTACTCATACTATGCTTCTGCACATCTTTTTGTGCAGATCCAGGTACATCTTACTAGCCCAGACATCAACGAGTTACCTGTGTAC